CAACTCGAAACTTAATGGTTCTAAGAGAAAAGTTTACCTATTTTTCACTCTCGCTCATTCCACGCACGCTTAATTCCAGAGCCGATAGGCTAGCGAATAGTGCACGTATGATTAAGTCTAATATTCCTTATGTAAGCTCGTCACCACCAATCTGGGCAACCGATAGGTAGTAACATAGTTTATAATGCTGTTGACAGAAGAAAAAAAACTATACTTTTACAATACTATTCGTTTTCAAATATATTTGTGTGTATAGAGTTACTTTAATTAATAGACCGCTATTTATATTTTTATCGATTTATATAATTCAAGAAATTTGATATATGAGATGGATTGGTTTTGAAAGATGAGGATCTTCTTACCAGATCGTACCAACCAAATGATAAATAACAAGACCATCTCTAAGCAGATCAAGACCATATCTAAGAAGATCGTACCATCCAGCTAACAATGTATACTCATATTTTTGAACGACTATAATTTGACAATACCATTCATTTCGAAATGTACATGTATATATTTATGTGTATAAAGTAACTTTAATTAATAGACCACATGTACATTTTTTACGAGTTATATAATTCAGGGAACTTGATTTTGGGGATGGATTGGTTTCGAAAGATGAAGATTTTCTTAACATTGCACTACCACTTGATCATACCCGTCTTAATGTAAGTGTATTGCTTATTTGCGTATTACTGTGTTTATTTTCAAATTAATTTAAAAATGTATAATTAAGTTATATGTTACACGATGTAGGTCATGGACTCGTGTTATTCTTATGTCGGATATAATCCTAAATAGCCCTAACTGTGATGGTGGTGTAAGAGCAGATCGACATCCTCCATGCGTGGATTTGTTGTGTCTCTTGCGGAACAGTTTTCCAAATTCAAGAAGACAACACGAGAAAATTTTGAGTTTGAACAGCTCTCTAATCACTTTTGCTCAGACCGACTCCACTCCTTCCTGCAATTTTAATCCCTTGCTCAAGCGGTCCTCCAGCAGTACAAATTGCCACACACCATCCTTTTTCCACACAGTCAAGATCGCTAAGTATACCGCCAAGAATAACCATCGCTGATAAACATGCTTCAAGAGAGTTAAAAAATTATATAATTGAATACATAATATAATTCACGCTATATTCAAACACGAATATGTGAATCGAAACTGTTACTAAATTGGATGAACACGCACACAAGATTGTAACACCAAAACTAGGTTTTTCTTCATATTACTTTCTTGTATATGTCTAAGAATCTATCGTCCATGCAACTTATATTTATTGGGTGCTAGAACTTTAGGTTAGTTCTTCAAAATTTCAGATCCACGCTTAATATTCAGATAATTGATTTTTTTTTTTCAGTTTATGCTTTTCAAAATATTTTCTAAATCCCCTATTGATGCAACGCATAAACAAGATTCGAGGACGAATCTTTTCTTGGCCGGTGAGACCTGATGCAGCGAGATATTTGAAATATTTCCAAATATCA